GTTCTCTTTCCCCACCAAACATGGTTTTATCATCAATACCTAAGTGTTCTAACTTGTTAAATTAGGTCAGCTCGCATGCACAATAATGTTCTACTTTTGGTAATTGTGTATGTGAACAGCTGATGCACTCTTTAACTTGTAGGTATACCTTACCATCTATTCAATGGTGCATGATGAACCTGCAGCTTCAGATCTTTGCCTACAGCAAGACATGTTAGTAGACAAAAAAATATCTCATATGAACATTTAATAATGTTTTAGGAAACTTACCTATGTACAAGAATTAATGAGAGAAAGAGATAGAAAGAAAGGGATGGAGAGAGAGGCAACAGAGGGAGAGATCGAGACATTTGGTGATGATGACAGAAGAGCAAAGAGCACACTCCCAACACAAGAAAAGACTCTCTTTAGCTTACGATGGGTTGTGCTCTCTCTCTTCTGTCAACATATCTCTCATCATCTCGCTTATGTTACCATCTCACTTTCTGATGAGTCCATGTGCCCGCATGAAAGCTCTGCATCTTCTTCAATAACACACACCATGCATACACATATATGTATCCCTGAAACAGAATTTTAAACTGTAAAACATTTCTCCCCATATAGTATTCGAATGTGATTGATACCAAACAATGACAACATGAACCTGTATTGCTATTGCTAATGCATGTATTGATCGATATGATATGTGCTCTGCATCATCTAAGTGCTGTTTGGTGATATTTTTTACTAATTAAAGGAATGAAGATCTGGTAGTTCACCATATTAATCACCCTACTATATACGAGATGTTATTTAAGCAAACATCACAGCTGTTTTGAGTTTCAAGAATCTAATTTGCCAGTGTCTAGCTAGCATTATATTATATATATTATGATTAATCTCAAACAACAACTCATGCATATATGTTTATGCAGTGCATCCATGAGTCCACATGGTATGTATATATATCGATCTTGTATGTAGATCGAATGTATATGATGACTTTGGTATATATAGATACATGAATGTGCATACCATGTAGATTTAGCATCATTCTTCAATCAATTGCATGCATATATGTATTATAAGAAAAGTATCTAGAAACAATTCTGAGAGAAACAAGCAAATATTCTAGCATCTCGTTCTACAAGAGAATACATAGATGAAACACTGGAAACCAAGATCGAACACACACACCAAAACTAATTAATGATCATAACACTGATCTATACCTCATAATGCCTTTTAGAATTAAGAGAGGATATATATAAACACAGAACTGACAAAGCAACTTATCATTCATAGGCTATATACCTCAAGCTTTTAGTAAATGGAAAAGATTTCACATAAATTCAACATAGAGACATCCAATAAAATTGGAACCGATACAGAGAAAATTAGCATGGCCCCTGCGCAAAGATGATCGAGAAATGGTCCAAAAAAACATATATAGAGATTGAAAAGAAACATAAAAAATGATAGAGATATAAAGATTTGATGATCATGAGATTACCTTTTGGAACAGATCAAGATGGTCACACCAATAATTCAATAAAGATATGTGATCTGATGAGGTAGCAGATGATTTGATTTAGAGAGAGAGAGAGAGAGAGAACAAACTAGGTTATGAGGTGAAGAAGTTGATATATGTATACTCTAGCTTAGTGTGAAATGGAAGTATGGAAAAATATAGGCAATGGTGGCTTGGGGACTCCTTGTTATATAGACTAAGTAGAGTAATCAGGGAAGAAGCCAAGAGAAGACCGGCTAAAGTGGGATTCTGACCGATTCTAGGGGGTTAAAGTGGTCCTTAAAAATTGTTAAGCTAGCTTAACTGCATTTGTATCTATTTGCAGGTTCTTTGCAACAATAGAGATTCTCCTACACTTGGCAAAACTTTGCTTTCACATTTACTTCTCTTTCCTAACGCTTTTATTAGTATCTCTTTCTTAAGTGTTTCAACTTTCAAAATTCAAAGTCTTCACTCTTGATTGACTTGGTTAGTTGGTTAACTTATGATGATCCCAATCCAATTGCATTGAGATTGTTTTTTTGGTAATTTAATTTGCTGGTTTAATAGGTTTATTAGACACCATTGGTCCATAGTACACGTACAGCCCACACATCCTCCAGACATAAACATTGCTATCAAAACAATCCAATGACGTAGTAATGGGTGGTCCAAGTGTCCAATTTGCAATTTGATTCACAGCTACACTTGTGTACAACCAAACAACATTCAAAGCCATCCATTGCACTGTGCACTGCAGAGTGCGGAGAGAAATCGCCACCCTAACCTTATGTTTAAAGGTGGTGTTGGTGCTGGTGTTGCGTAACTCAGAGAGGCAGAATACATGCACCAATGAAAAGCCCTACTACCATCATCAATGCCGCGTTTAATTATTACCTCTTCCCACCAAGGCTCAGTGACAGTGTAAAACATGCATGTAACTACATTGTCTAAGTTTCGATCTGGATCATACCTTATCTAAAGAAATTTCTTCTCCGTCCGACAATACAGTTGACAGAACTGGTATACCATTTCATATATCAAAAACTCAGAAGGCCGTTACGAGCAGATGATATAATACAGTATATATTTATATACAGAATTATTGCACTATCATCACACCTCAGGACCTTGCCTGCATGATTATAAGTTATCAAAGACGTCAAGAACAAGTATTATTTGTCCATCTAATGTTGAAATTTTATCTAGAGCCGGCCTTGCCAGTGAAGCTATTGCTTGGGGCGAATGTTTTTTTTTCCCAAAAAAGTGGCCACATCCTACCTTGTAGTATATAGTTATCATTATGAACTTATATACTTTATATATTTCCATATCTAAATATATTTATTT